TGTTTTAGAATGATCTTTACATAAAATGTCGTATTAGTTATTTTATAGAAATGTGTTGAGAAATGTCCAGTAAACTCATCTATTTATAGGACACCTATGTTCATATGACACTTTTTCAAGTCATGTTGTATAAAATGACTAGTACGACACTTTATTTTAAAAGCATCATAGAATTTTTTAAGACGTCCAAAATCATCCTATAAACATATTGTAACTCTTTTAGATAATATATTTTTCTAATATAACTTTTTAAAAGCATCATAGATTGATGGATTCGTCCATCAAATATCTATCAATACCATTCATATTCTCCAACATATCAATTTGTTGTTGCTGCAAAAAAAAAATCAATAATTTTTCTTATTAATTAGATTATGTGTCATCATTGATCGTGAATCTCTTTTGGTAACCTATATGTTTAGCTAAAGTGAAACAAAATATAATATCAGTAAAAATTATATAAAATTTATACATTAATAATACATATACATAATAAACATATATATATATATATATAATTTTATAAAAATGATGTATTAGTGGCGGATTGGCGGGATTGAGCCAATTTCAACCCTCCTAATTGGCGGTTTGGCGGGTTGGGTTAAATTGGGTTGTTAGCGGGTTGGGTTGGGTGGGTTTCACGGGTTGACGGTTTTTTGTACACCCCTAGCAGGATAGGTCAACTGCATCGACCGCATTATTCGTATCGCCCAAGCTAGAGGTGCACAGAAAAACTGTCACTCGCTAACAACCCAATTAAACCTAACATGTCAAATCACCAATTAGAAGGGTTGAAATTGGATTAGGCCTAGCTCAACCCACTCAACCCGTTGCTAATATATAATTTTAAATTATATATATATATATATATATATATATATATATATATATATATAATAAGAACAAAAAATACTAGTGGTTGGCATTTATGTAAAATAATTATAAATTTTTGTAACGAATCTCATAGGAGAAAATTATTAGAATCATTTTTGCAACAACAACAAATGGATGTGCAGTAAATTATGCATGATGTTGATAGATATTTTGTTACGAATCTGTCAATCCAAAGATTCCCTCATTTGATGTAGTACTTTGGTGGAAGGATAATGCTAATACGTATAATATTTTGTCTATGATAGCTACAAATGTCCTTGTAATACCTATATTTAGCATAGCATCTTAATCCGCTTTTAGTACTAGCGGCTGTATTTTGGACTCGTTTAGAAGCTCTTTGAGTCCAAAAATGGTGGAGGTCCTTGTATGCACCCAAAGTTGGTTGAAAGAGAATAATGAGGGGATTCAAACAAGTGAATATTTGGATCTTATAACTTTCTTGAAGAAGGTAAATAAACTTTGTAAATTAATTTGATAAACTTATCCTAGTATGGAAACATGTTCAACATGTCAGCCAAAATAAGTTGTAGACATTATTTTATTAGTGTCATATTTCCTTTATTGTTCCTTTGGCATACAAAAGGATAAGATAGGATAACAAGTGTCTACTTCAACCACAAAGGATGAAATGAAGAGTGCAAACTTGTATGGATCAGTAAATCAGATGAAGACATGCGTTAAAGTTGAATAGTAACATTTAACACAATGTGGTCCGCTTCTTATGGGTGGCGTGTGTATCAAATTTCAACATTATAGTAATGGTCAAGTATTATGTTGCATTAGACATATAGGTTGTCTAAGTCTAGATGTTATTTCAGTTAAAGATGTAGTAAATTATTCTGATGCACACTATTTTTCCATGTAATGTATGATGAATTCAGGTTTATAAGTTAAGTAAGTTGTCGTATAATCTACGTAACGTAAATTAGGGGGTTGCAATACATTGGACCATAACTCTTGATCTATTCCAAACATGATAATAAATATGTAACTTATCTCTTAGTTAACCTAAACTGTTTGTAACAAGTTTAATTGTGTATTTCTACCGTCGTTTGCAACTAACCCTTATACCTATAAAAAACCATTATACCCATAAAAATGCAAAAACAACATTAACATAGGACAAAATCAATAAAGTTTGCAGCAAAATTACATACATGATGGTTAAAATCAATAATGTTTGCAGCAAAATTACATACATGATGGTTAAAATTATTGACCGAGATATCTATTAATGGGGTTTTCATATTTTAACTAAAAGATTGGATTGGTTCGTTTCGTTTGCAACCAAAGTACAATTACAAACTCAAACATTATAAATTTAATCGAGTAAAATGATTAAAAAAATAGGTTGAAGAGGACATGTCTTAAATAAACATAAAAATGTTAAAAAAACAAAAACATAAAATATATTTTTTGGTGGAACTCGTTTGCACAAAATTGAAATAGCTGGTTATTGTTATTGAATTATAGATGCGTTTGTTTCGAACCTTATACAGACTTTTTGTTAAAATAAGTATATAATCTTAAATAATTTTTTTATTAAATATATAATTATTTGGTTGAGTAATTCAAAAAATCATAAGTTTGATTAAACCTATGATTCCCTACCAATCATTTGATTACATACAACAATTGTGTACCAACCATTAAATGATTGGTCCAAACTTATTCAACCAAATTTCATTATCAAATTAAAATGGTAAACCCATTAAAAAAACTAGAAGTGTTACTTGCCCAATGCAACGAAATATATTTTGATTTTTATGTTTTTTTTGTCTCGATTGATGTTATAATACAATTTTATATGATTTTGAGAAAACAAGAATGTTTTTATTTTTGAATAACATATAAATATGAAGATATATTATAAAAAATTGAAAAGAGAATATTGATATTGGTATCAAAATGGTTATTTAATTTTTTTCCTTTTTTGTGTATTTTTTAATTCATTTTTTTGGTTAATAATATATTTTTTGTAAAGATAATAATTAAGTATTTTATTAAAACTCAATAATTATCCTAATTATATTTTAATTTTTTATATTTAAATGAGATGTTTATCAGCTATATGAATTCAAACATAAAGCTTTAATAAGTTGTACTTACATACAACTTACTTGTAATCTTTAATTTTAAATAATATATGTCAATAAACATTACTTTACGCATAAAAAATGGCTTTTAAGAGTTTTTGTCAAATGTTTTATAATATAGTATAGATAGAGACCTTCATGCTTAACGACAAAATCAAGATAAATACGATATAATTTGTTACTAGTTTTTATTTTTATGACGTTTAAACATCGTCGTATATGTAAAATAAAAACTACAAACATAATAATTACTAATGAACAACATACTGGTCATTTTGCAACTAATTATGAACATGGTATGCTTGATAAAAAAACAAATATGTATCTTATCAGATAATTCAAAATTATTTTCTTAAAATATGAATTCTAACACGTTAAGTTTTTATTCCTTTTGTAAATTTAGCAAATAAAATGATAATTAATTAAATAATTTTTGGTAAATATTTGTCTCTGATGATTGAAAATGAAATATGATATAAACATGTTTCTTATATCATTAAGCCAGAGGTATTTACGAAATTTTTATCTTTAGGATAGAAATTTGATTTGCATACATCTTAGTTCTTTCAGATTTTGCTTGCAGACGTGATATAATGGGTTTGTTCGATTTCTATTTATTCAGTCATATAATAACGTTTATATAAAATGTCTTATTTTCAGTGTTTTAGAAGGCTCCCTGCGACAACCGTTGTGGTATGCCGTAGTTCAAACTTGTGTCTGACGTCACGATAAACATGTAGCACGTCATGGTCCAATACGCGGTTTTTGTAACACTATATTTGATTATTTTTCTCACCTTTTTAGTATTAACATTTAATAGTCTTAAATATACAACCTAATTTAAATTGTTTAATATTATTGACTTATTGAATAATAGTAGAAAACATATGTGTATATATCTATACACCTAACAAATAAGTAACTTTAGGGACACGTATTATGTTTCTGTGCGACGGTTATTGATTTTTCCCGCCTAAACATGTATCTAGACACAATTTTTACTTACGGTTCAAATAGGTCTATTTAAGTGACATTGTCCCTCTACACATCTTTTTTTTTCCTATTTTCGTGGTTTAACTGAATTTAACTCTGAAGTGGCCTCCAGACTTACAACATAACTCTGGGAAAATTTAGAGTTGTAAGTCTGAATTTAAGTCTGAATTTAACTCTGAAGTGACCTCCAGACTTACAACATAACTCTAGGAAAATTCAGAGTTGTAAGTCTAAATTTAACTCTAGAGTGGCCTCCAGACATATAACATAACTCTGGGAAAATTCAAAGTTGTAAGTCTGAATTTAACTCTGTAGTAGTCTCCATACTTACAACATAACTCTGAGAAATTCAGAATTGTAATTCTTAATTTAACTATGGAGTGGTCATCAAAATCGGGTTTAAAATTTCAAATTCGGATTTTAAAAGCATTTTTGCACAAAGCAATTTACCCGGAAAAAAGTTATAAGAAGTCAGAATTCTTGTAACTCAGAGTTATGCTCGTAGATACTTTCTAGCATTAGAAGACAACTCTGAATTTCTCTTATTCAAAATTAAGTCCAGAGTTATTTTCCAGCCTAACAATAGAACTCTGAATTCTTGTGTTTCAGAGTTAATGTCTAGAGTTTTTCTCATTTAAAATACCCCGTGTAATACACGAGATCGAACCTAGTATTATTATATATATGATACTCATATTTGCAGCAAAAGTCACGGTTTGGGAAAATCCATGCCCCATAGTCGTTGCTCCTAAAATAAACGCTTTGAAAAAAATCCATGCTCTTAAACTTAAGGCTTGACTGCGCCGTCACACTCGCTACGTCTCGCATTATTTTAAAACTTGGGTTACTTTCTTGTTCAACTTTGGTTTAAGCTAAGGTTTTAATTCATCAAAAAGACAGGGACTAAAAAGCTATAATTGTATAGTTAAAGGGGTTTATGCGATAATTTCAGATAGTGGGTGTCAATTATCATAAAACCAGTTAACACTGTGTAATCATCATCTTTCTCTTTCGAGTCTTGAAAACCCCAAAAAATAAGAAGAAAAACCATTGATTCTTATGCGTTCATCAAATTGATTCCTTAAAAGTTTCAGAAAACTTTGGGGTTTCGATTTCGATTCTGTAGAAACTAAGAACAACCTAGAAATGCATCCTTATGCAAATTAATTGCAGTTTATCGGAGCCTCAGGCTCACCCAACCCTTCAAATTTGGGGGGTTTTTTCGTGATTATTCTTTATGAATTTGATTGATCTCTGTGTATCTATACGTATATATCGAGATCAACGAAAGATATGAGTCCAACGAGGGTTTTGCGAACTGGGTTGATTCTATTGGTGATTTTTGTTAGGCTAACCTGCGCCGATGAGCTTCCTAGGGTTTCTAATTATGTCTGCCCTACGAAGTTGATTAAAGCTTCAATCTTTGGATTTCAAGAGTCGGTTTGTCCGCTGGGTGGAATTGATCATTCTCTTGGTGTTATTGAGGTATTTGAACACACTCGAATCATTATGAATCATAGTTGTTCTTCAATTTATGTTTCTGTTTTTATGATCAAATGGGTGTTTGTTTCGTACACCAATTAGAGGTTTCAATCTCTTGATAAAGTCAATCTTGACTGCTTTCTAAGAAGTCGTCAAATTTTATGTTCATATAAATCAGGGGTGTTATCGAATTTAATAATAGTCTTTGATTTGTTCAGCAATTTGCATAAATTCATGGTCGATTGTTATGATTCACATGTGAATATAATAGCACACATATAGAAGAAGGTTGTCTTGTTTTTAAGCATAAATTCAGACCAAAAATGGAAGAAACAAGAAAAGGATCCTTTCTAATTGTCCTAACTATGGCTCCCAACTAGATCCCCTGACCCCTAAGGGATCGTTTGTTAGCAGCTTAATGAGCTTATTGGGACTAACAGCTTATTCGGTTAGCTATACATGACTTTTTGGTAGAGGCTTAATGATATAGAACGTGGTTTATTCAGTAAGCTTTTAGGAGGGAGCTTTATGTAGAAAGCCAAGTTTTTCTTCTAACTGCCCTTCCAATTAAAAAACACGCTCCTTCTCTCACTCTTCTAAATAAAAACCTTTCTAATCTATACAGATAGTTTAATCCATAGAGACAACTTTATCCATACAGCACTTAATGGAAAATCAACCAAACCGCCCCTAAGTTGTAGTCTGGTTTACAATCTGATTTGGCGGTTGTTTACTCAGTAAGAAGGGATGTTGATTAGTGATTACCACCTGCAAGTATGCTGATCGAGTCAAAGACCTTCCAGCCTAGTGGTAAAGGCTTGGGCATGGCATAGTCATGAACCCGAGTTCGAGCCCTGGGAGGGGAGTGTTGGCGACATTTAAGTGAGGCCATGTTTAGCCTCCAAAATTGCCGGGGATTAGTCGGGCTTTGGCCCGGACACTTTTACAAAAAAAAAAAAAAAAAAGTATGCTGATCGAGATGTTGACCCAATAAGGAAGGGGTTGACTTCTGACTTGATCAGTGGTTCGGTCAACACTTATTGTGGCTCATTTGGTCAGCGCTTACCCAGACGGCACTCTTACTTGGTTAGTTCTTACCCGATTTGTGTTGTAAAACGGCCCCTTAGGCTGCATTCCAACAAACACGATTCAAGAAAGATTGGTTCGGTTTTGAAACCATTTGGTGGCTCATTTGGTCGGTAGATGATATTGTGGGCTTTGGGTATTCTTTTATTTTCAAGGTGGGTTAGCAACATCTTCGTGTTTCTTGCTGATAATCTTTACAAAATTGTGATAATGTTGATCTTGATTCATAAGATTCGTGTTGCCATTGGGAGGGTTATTTAGATGTTTACCTAATAGTCAATCATTTTCCTTAAACTATACATAGAGTAAGATATTGTGTCTATTTCGGGTGGATATTCTAATACTAGTACTCACAGTTCGTGATGATTGTAGTTCAATGGGATATTGGATGCTATTCATTTACTTCTAGAGCATCTTCGACAGATATGCTATAATTTTCCTAAAATAGAGTATCAAAAGTTAAAATCTCTAAAAAAATTTTACATCCAACTCCAATTATATCTTTATTTCTCCTAAGCACCAAACAAAACCAAACGAATCCGGTATATCCCACATAGAGGTAGGATCTGGGAGGGTAGGATGTACGCAGACGTGACCTTTGCCCGACGGATAAAGAGGTTGTTTCCTATATCTTTATTCCAAACAAATGCCGTTTTGGATGATAAACTAATGGTATTTGCATGTTTTTATTTGAAGGGAGACGAAGCATCGTTGCAGAAGGCTTTAAGTATGGTCGATACCAACACTAATGATTACATAGTTGTGCTATTTTATGCATCGTGGTGTCCATTCTCTACGATCTTTAGACCAAGTTTATCTGTGATGTCTTTGTTGTATCCTTCCATCCCTCATTTTGCAATCGAGGAATTCGTCGTAAAGTCAAGGTTTGGACACTTCATGCTTGCATTTATGTTTCCTCAAAGATATATTTCTATTTTGTTGTCGGATTTATATGATTTGAGAAGTAACCTTAGAATTTTTGTGTAGCATACTCTCGAAATATGGAGTTAACGGGTTTCCTACTCTCTTTGTTCTAAACTCGACGATGCGTGCACGATATCATGGCTCCCGTAGTTTGAGTTCTCTTGTGGCGTTCTACACGGATGTTACAGGTATGGGAGCGTCCTTATGGAATATCAAACAATGGATCTTTGTTACGACCATACTTCTTCCGTCCAACGAAAGTTACTCCCTATGTCCCAAAATAAATGTCCATGATAAAAAAAAAAAAAAAAAAAGGCACACAACTATAGAAATATGTAAATATTGCCCGTTACCCATGGAAGATGTATACAATGGAATATGCACAGGTTTTATTGTTGTGTGGTTATTACACTTTTTAATTACTCCCTCCATTCCATAACAATTTTTCTACAATAAAAAAAGGCAAAGATTTTAGAAATGTGTAATTATTACATTTTTTATTTACTTCTTTGTTCTCGTAATAGATGTTTACAATAAAAAAAGGCCAACGGTTTTGTAGATATATAATTATTAGTTTTTTTTTTTAATTATTCCTTCTCATAATAAATGTTTTATAAACTAGTAATTGCATTTTAATTAGTTAAATGACAATTTTACTTTTAATAGTGGATTGAATAATTAATTTCTCTATTTCATGATTAAGGGTAGAATTGGAAAGTGGACGCTTATTTTTTTTGGGACAAATTAAAATAGAAACGTGGACACTTATATTATTTGGAACGGAGGGAGTAACCAAACGAAGATTTTACCTTTAATAACATAGTTAGCAATGAATTTCTCTATCTCATATTTAAGGGTAGAAGTGGAAAGTAGACACTTAATTTTGAAAATGAATACTTATTTTCGGACAAATTAAAATAGAAATGTTACACTTATTTTGGAAAGGAAAGGAGGGAATCATTGTGATATCTTATGAAAATTGCAGTATTTCCATTGTGGGAAAGATTTCAAGTTAAAGTTAAAAGTTACCAATTTGTCTATTATCATCGTTGCAATCAGGCATCGAGGCTGAATCGGTCGACACGACCTCACTAGACAAAATGGACACTTGGGTGCACGAGAAAGGCGACAACAACAACAAGAAGCCAGAAACATGCCCATTTACATGGGCAAGATCGCCGGAAAGTATGCTCCGGCAAGAAACATATCTAGCATTGGCCACTTTATTCGTGGTTCTCCGGTCACTTTACCTAAGTTATCCATTTATCGTCACATCTGCTCATTATGCTCGAACAACACGGTTTCGAGTTAGGAGCTTGTGGGAACACCCTTTTGGGTATTTGAATCGAGCCATACAGTTATTTAGTTCGCTTACTGGTTGCATGGACGTCGGTTTCTTTGGTGGCAGTAAGCAGTAAGATCGATTTGATGTTCTTTTTTGTTGATACGAAAGTTTTGTTCTAATTTAATTGGTGTTTAATGTAATATAGATTACAAATTGTATGTTAATTGAAGAAAATGAGAGATCCGTATTCGAACCAAAAATGTGTATAATTTCATTATAATTAAATAATATTTGTATTTAGGGATAGGGTGGTCGGAGGTTTAAATAAAAACATCAAAAATAAGCATTTGAGATTTATAAATTCTCGATTTAGGTGGAGGTTCAAACGAGAACGTCTCTGTCTTACAAAAATACGAGAATGTTCTTTATCACATGTGATAATACATGCAAGGGGATACGGCAGTGTGCGGACGATGTGTCTTGTGATCTAGGTAGCGCCAAAGGTTCGATTTAGCATCATATTTGATGGATTACAGTATCACATCAAAAATACCTTTTATCATATGGGATAATATACGTGAGGGAGCCCAGTGGTGTATGGATTACTTGGCCCGCAACGTAGGTCGCGCCAAAGGCCGTCCGTGTCTCTGACTTAGTATAGTATGTATATCATATGTGATGGAATATAGTATCACATGTGAATGACTACAGTTAAAAGATGTTATCGCATTCTCATAAAAATAATTCTTTAAGGGTGGGACCGGGATCAGGACCGACGGCTCATAACCGGTTATAAACTAGCCTGACAGGTCTTCATCTATTCGATCAGGACCGGTTATAGTTGATTATGAGAAATCTTGGGACCGTCTGGGACCGATTTTTGGCCATCACTACTTGCATGTAAGATGGTGATAGACACTTAATAACCGTTAATGACAGGATTCAAGGATGAAAATTGTAACAAAATGAAACCTACCAAATTGAAAATGTAATTTCAAATTTTGAAGGACGAAAATCAGAGTTTTAGTAAAAGATATGGGGGATTTTTTGTAATTTAGGGGCTGTTTGTTTGGCTCTTAATGGTTCCATTAAGAGCCAACCTCTTAATCGCTAAGAGGTCAAGGCTGTTTGGGAAAAAAAAAATACTCTGAATGGTTACATTTTACCTCTTAACCATTTTGCATCCAGGGGCTCTCTAAACCATTCAGACTCTTCTTTTTCCATATTTGCCCTCTCCCCCAACATCTCCCCCWCCCTCTCGTCGCCTCCTCCCCCCACCTTACGAATACGATCGCCCTCTCCCCCAACCAGAGTGTCGTTCGTCGCCACCAACCAGAGTGTCGTTCAAAGACCCTCCCGTCGTTCAAAGACCCTCCCCCACCGTCGCCACCGTCGTTCAAAGACCCTCCCCCACCGTCGCCACCGTCGTTCAAAGACCCTCCCCCACCCTCTCGTCGCCGGACTCGCACAGCCCCTTCTATACAGCACGCCCTTCACATCGCCTCCCACCCCCACGATCGTTGGTCTTCGTCTTCCCCCTCCCCGATCATCGCTCTTCCGGTTGCCATCTCCGGTCGCTCTTCCGGTCGCCGTCTCCGGTCTTCCAGCAGCTCGTATTTCCTCGCTTCCTACCGTATTTCCTCGTATTTCCGTCGCCGTCTCCCCTTCAGTCATAAGGTTCCTTTTTCTTTCTTTCTTCTTCTTCATGTGTGGTGAATGATTGTCTTTGATGTAGGCTTCATCTTATTTGCAACTAATTGATGTTCAGACTTTTGGTTGATCATTATTGATGATATAATTAGGGTTTATAGCTTAGTGATATATGTGCATTGATGATTGCTTATTAGGCAGAGGGACCAGAAGGAGATCTAGATGAAGTTACACACAGGGTTTATCATGCTCTTCCCTCTCCTGTTCAACTTGCTGGTTGCTATTTTCAGGGGTATTGGGCTATGTGGTTCCATGGTCCCTTGATTCTTGTTTTGATCTTTACCTATTTGATCTGCAAGGAATATGAGTGTTTGATACGTTTGTATTTGATTAATATGAAAACTTGTTTTGAACAAGTAATGTTATGTTTGTTTGGATTAATATGAAATATGTAGTTACATTTACAAAGTAATTGTTTTATTCAGATATCTGCCAAACAGTTATATTTCATTCAGTACTAAATCATACAGAGGGTTAAAATGGTAATTTGTTATCATTCAGAGAACATTTACCAAACAACCATATTTCATTCAGCACTTAACCATTCTGACCCTCTTAACCATTCTGACCACTTAACCATTCTGCACAAAACCATTCAGCAACTGCCAAACAGCCCCTTACTCTCTATTCAATAATCATTAAATATGAATGTTACAATAAATGGAGCAACAGAATTTTATGATGTTTCTAGATTTTAATTTAATAATATTTTTCTTGGAAAAGGATTTGTCATACTTTTTATCGAATGCTGTTTGATAATTGTTGAATGGTTTGGTGTAAAATGATTAAGTGGTTATAATGATTGAAAAACTTTCATGATATAATGCAAAATGAAATATAATTATTTGGTAATTGTGTACAATGAAATTAGGGTTCTTAATGGTTAAGGGAGATCCATGATACAAAATCATTCAGAGAGTTTTAAAATCATTAAGAGACATACTTTTTTTTGCCAAACAAGATTCACCTCTTAACAATTCAGAGGTTGCCTCTTAATGAAACTATTGAGAAGTAAACAAACAACCTCCAAATATATTTTGGTTCAGATCACTCGAACGTATTCGATGCATCCTTTTGTGTAGTATTTATGATCTTGTTGTTTGATTTTTTTTAACAATTTCTTAAAATATAAAATTTAAAATCTGAAAAAATATTTTTTTTAATCAAATCAAATCTAATTTAATTTTATTACAATTCATTCATATTTAAGTTGTTTTGACAAATCAACATTCGTTTCTAAAATATTCAGCAAAATTTAATATTGAATACTTTATTTGATTATATTATACGAGCTATGTTACATAACGTACTAACACTTTCACAACTACCCTGGTCCGGTCCATCACCTCCCTTGCAAATTGCAACCCCACGGCCACAACCATTACATCTCCACCTCCATCAACTATTGTGTTGTCATGACTTTATTTTTTGATTAAAATGTATAGATTGAATTTTAAGGTAGATTTCATTTGATATGCAGACTAAATGGTATATAATTAATGAAATTTAAATCCAAATCCCTGCAAACCGAACACGAGGCTGATAAGATTTGAAAATTGAATTTCATTGCAATCTCATGTTTGAAATTTTATGAAATCCAAGGACATTAGATTTTGAAATCAAGAGGTAGTTGGCATTTCATAATTTTTTTACTTTACAACAATGTTTTAAAATATATAAAAAATACTTTTTTATAATTGAAAATTCTACATATTTAAAATTCCAATTCCCTAAAAAAAGGTTATATAAAACTAAAATACTACAAAATAGATGAATCAGAGAAGTAGAAGGACCGAGAAATAAAAAATAATAATAACAGCATAAAATATAAGTGGACCATATGCTGACCGTCGTCCTCTTAATTTCTACAGTCACCACCCTGCCTGCCTTAATTTCGTCACTTCTCCAACTGAAGACAAAAGAGGGTTTTTGCAGACACCATGGATACGGAGAAGGAGCGAGATCGCCATGTTTACTTTGCTAGAATTGCAGAGCAAGCCGAGAGATACGATGGTATTATTCATATTTACTTCCTTCCTTCCTAAAATTCCTTCGCTGCTCATTTGTTTCATATAATTTTCAAGGTTTTCAGTTTTGTTCATAATTGGCCAATGGATTTCTTACTTTTAAGTTTCGAGATGCTTGTTAGGTGTTACAAATTGCAAATCTATGTGTTCGTTTGAAGTTTAATTCCGGCTGTTTTTTTGTTGTTGTGGTTTTTCGTTATCCTCTTGTACTTGCATTTTCATGAAGATTCCTTGGGGGTTTTCTTCTCCAGACTCAAAATTTTCAGGTATCTGTGTGTATATGCGTCTCTGTTGTTTTCAAAATTCACACGGACTGAAACTGTTGTTTACTTCCATGATTCTATAGTATAATTATAACGATCACTTAATTTCGAACAGATTCCACCGAGTGAGAGTTAATCGCCTTCTGAATTCGGTTCGATTTGAGTTTGGCTCTCAATTTGTCTATATTTCCCTTCTTATTTGAAACCTTTGTGGAGATCAGAAGATTGCTGATTACTTACAATTACATTGGTGTTTTGTGTGAATTTGGTCTTCTCATCTCTTCAATTCAGATGTTAATATATCTAATTTCATCCTAGATGGAAGTTGATTGCACAATTCATTTATAAAGTTGGCTTACTATGAGAACTGAAAAATGATTGACGTGTATTTTGAAACTAAAACAAGTGGCTGTAATAGCTGGCACAAGGCAATGTCCTAGAAGTGGAGTTTTTCAAGGACTTTCCATGGTCATACTTCATGCTCGTGCTATGCTCTTCTTTAGATATTTGCGGCCTCAGTCTGTTTGTAACACTTTATGAAATTGGGGTGCTATTGTTACTCCCAGAATTACTATATGCACCTACTCCCTGCATTCCGAAAAAAGAGGTCCAGTTTGATTTCCAGAATCAAACCTGTTTGTTTTGAAGTAATTCATCTGGACTTTATTAGTCAAATATCCGAAATGTCATAAAAAACATGAAGTGTATGATATTATTAAGTTGTAGTTTTTTCAAACTGAAGTTAAATTTTGGTCAGGCAAATTAGGATCATATTATGTAATAATAGTAGGGGCAACCGAGTAATTTTAGCTTCAAAGTTTACCACAAAGACGCATGTTGCAACTAATATAGAACATTCATTGTAGTTAATTTTTATGGGTGAAAAGGATATTCGCTACAAATTGATATGGTAGTCAGTCATATGTAAGGGGAGGGGGATAAAGTAGTGGCAAACATTAGAAGCACTCTGCAACCATAAAACATGACTAAAGTTTTCAAGGTAAGTTTATAGGACGTCAATGAGTGTGAATATTGAGCCACTAAAAAGAACATCTACAAAATGGAGGTGTAGCAAAAGTGTGAATGTTGAGGTGGATGTACAAACACATGAGGATGGTTATCTATAATCTGACTCATCTTTGGTGTGGATCTTTTGAAGCTTTTGTGGGAAGAGGAGACATGGATAGGGAGGAGGGGATTAGGAGAGACAGGCCATAGGAGGACGCTAGGATCAGCATGGGGGCAACAAAGAGATTTCAAGGAGCATAGTGTATATAAGCAATTGACTTTATATAGAGAGCACAAAAGCATGCTATTCATGTTTCATCGCTTTTTCTAATTTTTAATAGGTTTTATTTGTAGCCCACTCAACTGGTTTGGGATGGAACGCTTGTTTTTTTGTTGTTGTTGTTGTGATAGTGCTTGTTATAACTGGTAATGTAATTTTGACAAGCTTAGTGGAAAGAATGTCTTTTGGGGTAAAGGTCAGGTCTGCATAAATCTCAACCTCCAGAGACCTACTCTTGGGTGGGATTTACTTGGTCAGTTTGGCTTTGGTTTTGGTTTTAGTGGGGAGAATGCATATCAATGTGAAGTTGTAAAACTAGCCATTAGTCAAGTCTTGTGCCTTTTTCTTTCAAATGGAAGGAGTATGTAGTATGAGACCTAATTAGATGGTAAAAACATGTTTCTTGTGAAAGTAATGAAACTGTAGATGCTTGGGTTAGGTGTGAACTATGGTTGAAGCAACTTCATTCCAGTCTTTGGTGAACTGACTCACATTAACTGCATTATTGCATGTCTATGCTTTAAGGTCATTTCTTTTGCTGTATTATAGTAAAAATTACTTGTATATATCTATGCCGAACAATGCACTGAAAACAGGATGCCCTTTAAAATCTATGTTGCCTCTTTGAAGTTCTTAGAGTTAGACATTCTGCTAATGTTTTCTTATTTATGCTCTTGTTTATGACTCAGAGATGGTCGAAGCAATGAAATCTATTGCAAAGATGGATGTGGATCTGACTCTGGAAGAGAGAAACTTGTTGTCTGTTGGATATAAAAATGTGATTGGAGCAAGAAGAGCATCGTGGAGGATATTGTCATCTATTGAACAAAAGGAAGAGGGCAAGGGTCATGAGCAAAATGCGAAAAAGATAAAGGATTATAGAAAGAGGGTGGAAGATGAGCTTACGATAATATGCAATGACATACTTTCTACAATCGATTCCCACTTGCTCCCATCATCAAAATCTGGAGAATCTGCTGTCTTCTATCATAAGATGTGAGTCTTTAGATTATAGAGAACCAATTTAACTACCACAAAATGCACTCAATTCATATATCTCATGAGAATTGCAATAACACATGTTTAAAAGCCTCTGCTTATCCAACCAACTTGTTATCAAATGAAGTCTTGGATGAAAAAGGTTGCTCCAAACTTGATTATGTATATGCAAAAAAATCAACAACGTTCCATTCGAATATGCTTGCGAAATAGTATTGTTGCAATTTCATGGGATTTGAGAAAGTATCATTATGGTGTCTGAATATGTTATTTTTTTTATTGTATTATTGCTAGCAGGATTCTCCCTTGTGATTTTTAGTCCATTTAGTTTCTATATTAATTTTGCATGGAGACTAACACTCTGATTCATTGACCTCTTCATATCTAAACAGGAAGGGGGATTACTTCCGTTACTTAGCTGAATTTAAATCAGGGAATGATCGTAAGGAGGTTACAGATCAGTCGCATAAAGCTTACGAGGTTATTTTAATTTTAGATATTTTCTTTTTTCCATTTTCCATATATGATTAGTGATCCACTAGTCATACTTCTTCATTTTTTATGTTAATAATCAGAAGTAGAGAGTTAGTTGGATCATTATATTACGTTGCAGGCTGCAACTGCTATTGCTACATCTGATCTGCCACCTACGCATCCAATCAGGCTTGGTTTGGCTTTGAACTTCTCGGTCTTTTACTACGAGATATTGTACTCCCCTGAAAGGTTTAATCATCGTGTCATTCTTGAGTTTCTTGCCTTTGTCAATGTTGACATCAATTCCTCAACTCCCTCTGTTCCAACAATTAATAGATAAATAAATAATGCTTTGACTTTTTGGTCAAATGGACAACTTTCCAACTCAGTTGTTAAAGTGGATTCTATTTTCAAGAAAATTTTGTTTACGACTAGAAGTTTATAAGACATAATAAAATTAAGTTAATGTATTGAAATTTGCATCCAAATCCATATTGAGTTTCACTTTGAAGAGTAGTTCATTTGACCGCAAAAGTCAAAGTGCCTTTAGTACTGATTTTTCCAATCTGAATCACAATCGATATTTCATTTGATTTAGTGGGTTATTTCTAACTTGTTCAGGGCGTGCCATATGGCTAAACAGGCATTTGATGAGGCTATCACCGAACTTGATACACTGGATGAAGAATCGTACAAGGACAGCACTCTAATTATGCAGTTGATTAAGGATAATCTTACTCTTTGGACCTCGGATATTTCAGAAGAGGGAGGTAACCTCCACCCCAGAAAAATAACACAAAAAAGTAACTAATCAAAGTGGTGGTGATCTAAGTCTAACCACCTAAGGCCCTGTTAGGAATCTGAAAGAATTGGAATGCTGGCCAATACCGTTGAGCAAATCCCATTCAGCAGTTTGGTTTGCACATTGAAGGGAATCGAATTTCATAGATTCCACCAGCCGTTCATGGATTTCATCATTCCATTGCATATGTGATGGGATTCAATTCCATTCCTACCCATTCAATTCATTTCCATAGATTCCATTGTTCACCGATTGAACATGGAATGGAATTGAATTCCATTCCTTCATGATGTAATTTGTTTTACAATCTTTTTCAAGAAATGAAAATAGGACTGCACTGTTTAATGACTTCAAGGCAATCAGTTGCAGTAACTGTATGGGCAACTCATTACATAGAGCTTGTATTTCTTGAAAATATCAGTGAACGAAAATCTACATCAGATTGGAATAGACGTTGTTTAAAGATGAACAGAGAAGGGTCTGAAAGAGAGCAATTTAGAAATATTAGTCAACAAGTACTGCTTAAAAATCTAAATTTACAGCCCTGTATATATAGTGAAACTAACAGAGGCCTAATTTAACTTGTATTATGTTCAATACTAGATCAGTGAGTAAAATCTATCCTGGATCTAGTTTTTGCAATCCGTGTTTGACTAAATCTTCATTAGTTCCTAATTTTGGTTCTTGGATATAGAAAATTTACTCATGATTAATATTTTTGATGGATTTAGTATATACAAATTTGCTTTTGCAATTGTTAGTCTGAGATGGTTAGCATCCTCGAGAGTTTCACTGTGAAGAATTACCCATTCAGTAGTAGTTCATTAAGCTATTAACACAATTATTGCTTTATTATATTAAGATAGCACTCTTGTAATCAGACCCAAGCATTTGACTGAAGTGGTGAAGTTGTTATTTATTTGTAATTTATTTTTAACAGCGGCAGGTGAACACTCCAAGGCGGGAGAACCTCAAGGCAGGCCAGATAGCAAATAAAGCAATCACAATTCACAGCGGTAGGCACTGCCGTATCTGCGTTTTCCCTTCTTTGATATATGTAGCCCTGGAATTTACACTTTGCACCCTCTACTTTATACCTACTATTCCGTCTGGTTTTTGGTTTAAGGGTCAGCAAGCTCCGAATCCCGTTCGTATCATAACTACAACAATCATCTTTGTTTTTTAAAAATCGTACGGGTTCAGATTTGGAAATTGGGCATTGCTAAATTAACCTAAATGAACCCCTTTTGGGTTAATTTTGTGGTCAAATATCATGCATTGGAAATGTAAAAATAGAAAGTTGATTGTGTGGTGCGAAAATGGGACGGGGTTCATTTAGATTTTAGAATAACCCCACATACAATACACCATAGCAGCATAATTTGAAAAATGAAAATCAAGGTTCCCTTTCCATTTTTCTTAGTTGTACACGGAAAACTAACCGGCAGATGAACGTTGCAGAGCTAGCTTAAAGTAGATGATTAAGAGACTACAATAGCTGCTCCTGAGAATGGTGGAATTGCTTAGCAAGAAGAGTCTTTATGGTTTTGCATAAAGATAAGTAACCGTTGGCTTGTTTCTTTTCATCCATGTTATAAATGTCAAAGAGTCTCAGAGATTATTCTAGAGTTAGCCTTCTCTTCTTTCTTTCTTTCATGAATACATCTATGTTTTCTGGTGTCATGATTCTTGTTGAATCCTTGGTATATACATATACATTGTGTGTTTGTTTAAGTTTCACTAGTTTTGCTTTTACATCCTTTTTAATAAATGCACATAGGCATAGGGATCATCAAATAGAAACAACCCTTTAGCAAAATGCAAGAAAGAGGGACCAAATTTTTGGTAATTTGGTAACAAAATAACACAAAAAAATTGTTGGATTACAAGAACTATGTGGAGTCATCAATAGTTAAGAAAACTTTTGAGGAAATAGGCATGAACATGATGATTTTAGTGTGGGATCAGGTAGCAAGAGTGAGTGAGCCATTATTGTGGTGGTTGGTTGTGGCGGTGGCGGTTGGTGGTGGAGGAAGAGGAAGTAGAAAGGATTTGAGATGTTTATAGAATTCTTTAGGTTTTTCTACAATGTAAGCATGGCCTGTATTCTTGATGACCACCATGACAGCATTATCACCCAAATGCCTTTTAAGTCTGTAACCCAATTCCAAAGGAAAAACTTGATCCTTATCACCCCAGATTATCATTGTTGGCTGCAACCAATTTCAATTTTATATTTGAATGAATAGTTCAGAAGTAGAAAGAGAATACAGGGAAGGAAGGAAGGAAGTTGAGGAGGTACCTGGGGTATTTTGGGAATTTCGGAAAGTTTTCGGTCTTTGGCTAGAGCATGAATGAGTTCCTTTTTCTCCTTTACATGTTCACTGCACATCTCCTGCAACCCACACCTTCTACTCATGTTAGTTATTACCAATTCTTTTCACAGGTGCCCTTGAATCATAAACTTTCTTCACTAGTGATTAAGTTTTTTTCACAGGTATTATGATCACACTAGTGATTAAGTTAATCATAATAAGAAAGTAGACACTTAATTTGGGACCGAGGAAGTTCATGCTATAGTTTCGTAAAATATATGGCCCATATCAAAGAGGTAGAAAAATACAATTAGAAGTTTTGATTGGTGATAATAAATGTCTAAAATAGGTGCACGTTCAGTTGCGAAGCGGGGGACCTATGAGCTTGAGTCATGTGTCCAGGATATTCACGAGAGAGATTCATTATGAATGTTCATCGACAATATTGCGACATTCATCATAATTGTTGTAAAAAGTTTGTCCATTATTCATGATGAATGTCGTGCTCTCGTTTGTTCACAATTGAAAACATGTTTGCAATTGAACTTTTCTTAGTCTAAAATATCACTCTTAACATTTGTGTATTATGATCAATTACCAAGATTGTAGGTAAATAGATAAATTTCTTTAATAATCTTTTTTAAATGTAAGTATTTTTTTGGTATATTTGTTTTATTTTATAGAAGTAAGTGTGTTTTTTGTTCAAAAATGTTTAGAGACTTAATCGTTCAAAATATGAAAGTTCATTGGCATTTTTTTCAGATTTTTTCTATTATTTTATCATATTAATCTGTTTTATATGTTATAAAGATGTATGTAATAGATTTTAGAAAGTATAGAGTTATTTAACAGGTTTTGGAAGGTCAAATAATTTATTTGTTTCAAAATTTTATTTAAAAACTTAATCATTTCAAACGTCTCTCCATTGATTTTTTTTTTTACTTTTTCTTTATTTTAATCCATAAAAAAACTAATTTATTTTATTACAATAACATATAAACTCAAAGTAAAAGGAAAAAAGCAAAAAGAAAAGATACGATGCACCTTCCTTCATAAATGTAGTAGCATCTAGAAACTGCTCCACATTTTCTCTCATTCTTTCTTTTTCTTTTACAAATCGTTTTTGGTTATTTATTTATCCCATGAGATTTTTTTTAATTTAATATCTTAAAAAATTAAGTCTTTTTTGGGTTGTTTACGTAAATATCCAGATAAAGTATTTATAATATCAGTTCCAGTCGATAAAATTTATTAATTTTGTTTTATAAAATTTATTAATTTTGTTTTATAAAATTAATTTTATTTAAAAAAATCAATTGAAAATTCAGTTTTAACAAATGAATTTCAAGTAAAAATGAGGGTGGAAATAGCCAAATCTTACGTCGATAAAATCCACAAGTATGCAATTTGGAGTCTTCACCGGCGGCTTGACGAACGTAAGACTCATCAATTCCTTCATCTTTTCCGGCGTCTGCGGCAAAAGTATATCGGCGGCGTCCTCCAAATTCTTCACGGGAAACAACCCTTCCGCCAAATCCTTCTCCTCCAAACACACCCCGGCGCAACATATGACCACCCTCTCCACCGCCTCCTTAAACTGCGCCGCCATGCTATACGCCACAAACCCACCATAACTCAGCCCCACCACCGTCATTCTCTTCACTGAGTTCGTCTCCATGACTCGGTACACACACTGAGCCTGGAACGAGTCAGACCGGTCCTCACGAGTCGTATACGAGTCACCGAAAAACACCAGGTCCGGCACGTAGACATTGAAATGACGGACGAATCGAGGGATAATATCCGGCCCCCACTGCCACATGGCGTTGGCTCCGAACCCATGGAGCAAGAGCAAATTGGGTCGGATTTCTTTACGGGTTTTGGGTACCCAACAATGGATAACGGTGCCGTCACCGAGGTCCGTCACCGTTGATCGGAGACCGGAGCTTGAGAAAGATGATCGGAGACACCAGTTTCTAGACGCCGTGAAACTAAAGCACTTAGTCATGGCCGATGGGAATACACACAGTGTGGTGTGGGTGTGTGTGTGTATGTGTATGGAGGAGAGAAAGATGGAATAACCAAAGAGAAAAGTGGGTCATAAATAATGTGTTTTGGTAGGAGTTGACATTGATTGGTCTCTTTAATGGATCGTGTTTTGCATGCTTTATATTAATTTAAATATAAAAATTGGTTTATCAGTGTAATTATTTGACTCATTAAATTTATAACCTTCAACTTCACAATCATAATGGTTTACATGTTTGAATGGGATAAATACTGATTGGTTTGTTAAAACGTAAGATAGAATGTCAGTGGACATGAAATTACTAAATTTGTCAACCTTGACGTCTGAAATAGTATGACGTAATATTTTCATATTGGTTATTAGCCTATGTTACTTGAACATAGAATGACGGATCCAGTAAGTCTGGTATTATATTACAAGACACGATGGATTTTGTCTCAAGATTTCTTGTAACAACAATTTAAACACTCAGAAGGTTACGTATTGGTTGCAATAGAGATATATATATATATATATATATATATATATATATATCTCGTCTAAAGTATGATGTTAAATCTAAATCTGACTTGACCTATTATTGACACCTGGTATATATGTTGAACCCGACCTAAAATCAACTCGTCTAATTTATGATGTTCAACCATTTAAACATGCATATGTTTAATTGCTAGTATCTAGTAAAAGATTCAAAGTGAATAAACCTCTTTATAACCATTATGATCATTTAAATATTTTTTATTCGCTAAATTTGAATTTTTTATTCACATAAGTTAAAATCAAACTTTATTTTTTTTACATATATTTACAAAATATTGATTTGATAAACACCTCTAATAATATTGTGTGGTGGATCAATTTATGTATCAAATAAGATATGATTGTATTTATGATTGGATCATATAAATTGTGTTTACGATTTGATCATATAAATTCGAATAAAATTTTGATATTTTATAATCATAGGATATGATAAACTTATTTCGAATTTAAGCTTCATTAACAATAACTATTTATACACAACAACTATTTATTCATCTTCATCTCTTACACTCTCTCAAATTCTATCTCTATCTTATACATCTCTAAATTTATTTTCTTTCTATTTGGTTTTTCTTCTATTTTACTATTGATAATCTTCATAGTTTTATGTGGAGTATTTTTTATTCTTAAGTTTATGTCAGATTCCTTAATATTTCCGTCATTATTACTCATTTTATTTAGTTTTACAACTTTATTAATAAACAAATCTCTCTCTCAATATATATATATATGTGTGTGTGTATATTAAAATTTCACTAACTATATTTTATTTAACTTTTTCGAATTATTTGAATATGATTTGTTGATGATTCTATTAACAATTAATATATATTTATATAGACAATCCTAATATCATTAATCAAAACACTCATACTACCGCGCAACGCGCGGTTCCCATACTAGTATATATTAAAGAAGAAACCAAAGGTAATGAGGTGGCACCTTCTAATGCTTAGAGCCCCTCCTATTTTTTTTCTCATTTTTTTGATTTTTTTAAATGTTGAATATGTTAAAAGCTTTTTTTTCCCTTGGATGAAAAATGTATAGCTCATAATTAATCCGGGTTATTTTTGTAATTTTGTATACCCAAATTTAACCTCCAACTCTTGATTTGCTCTTCCATTTACTTTCTTTTATTTCTTAATAAAATTTGTTTTTTAAAGTTTCAATAATAAACAAAATGAAATCATATAAAATCCTTTGGTAAGGGATGAAGAAGGTGAGAGTTGAAGAAGAATTCAAAGATTTTAAAAGGTATGTAGAAATTATATTCATTAAAAAATGTTATTTGTTATTACATGTTTCTTTTTCAATATTGTGGATGTGTTGTTATCATAGGATATGATTGTGTTTATGATTGGATCATATAAATTGTGTTTACGATTTGATCATATAAATTCGAATAAAATTYTGATATTTTATAATCACAAGATATGATAAACTTTTTTCGAATTTAAGCTTCATTAACAATAACTATTTATACACAACAACTATTTATTCACCTTCATCTCTCACACCTTCTCAAATTTTATCTCTATCTTATACTGTTGGTCCCAAAGGGTCTACAAGAATACTAAACAGTTTG